ACCCAGCCCAACGCCCCTGCAAGAGCAGGATCACCCAGACTAGGTCACACAGGAAGGCGTCCAGGCAGGTTTTGAATGTCTCCAGAGAAGGAGACTCTACAACCTCTCTGGGCAGCCTGGTCCAGTGCTCTGTCAACCTCACAGTGAAAAGGTTTTTCCTTGATGTTCACATGGAACTCAGCATCAGTGCAATCTGAGCTATGTAGTCAGCAACAGATCTGGAATGCTTTAAAAACAGCAAAGCAAAGACTTGAAACAAAAAATACTATTTCCCTTTACAGTTATAAAAAAATAAAATTTGGCAAGGCTGTCTCTTTTAGAGAAGAAACAGAAGCCTGAAGCCCTATCCCAAAAAAATTACTAAAACGAAAAAAACTAATTTTGTCTGCAATGCCATTTTACCTTTTGACTAGTCAAGTTCAACCTTGTTCTTCCTTCCACATTGATAGAAGAAAGAAAGATTTTATTCTCCTTCCTATTCACTACAGATTTGATACCTACTCAGTGCTTTTTGTTACCACTGTAATGTTATAGTGAAGCAAACCACAATCTCTCTTTTGGTTGCTTCAGGCATCACTTCACACTTAGTATCTCAGAGAAAAATTTTCCAGTGAAATTTAAATGGGCATTCATAAAAATACACTTTCTTTTTAAAACAAAAATAAGTAACAATCAAAATTTTTAAGCTTCAAAGCCTAATGTTGCAGGACTGGGACAGTCCACTGTAAAGATTTAAGTTCCATCCAAAGAAAAAAACTTCAAAAGTTGGAAAACTTTTACAAATCATGATAGATCTACCTGGAGTATCAGTTAAATACAGGAGCTATCCCAGCTAGTATCACAGCAATGCCAAACACAGGCAAGTACCTGCAAACAAGCGCACTCAGAAGAACTCAGGGAGGCAGCAGGTCAGACTTGCCAGAATGTGCTGAGTGCTGTAACACAGCCCGCACAACAGCTCCCTCATGACCTTATTTCATATAATGCACTTAGGGTCCATCCTGCAAGTGCAACTTCTGCCCCTATGCTCTGCCTGTGGAACAATGGTAAACCTACTTTTATTCAATATTGAGCATGCTGTTTAAATTCACCCTTTTATTCTCCAAGAAATGGTAACAAAATTCACCAAATAATGAAAAAATTAGTTAACTGTTCCCTTAGGGCAGAAAACCTACTCTTAATGCTGACCTTCACACCTATGAAACACTTGCAGCACATAAGGCTGAAAAGCTGAAGAAAAGAAGAATTGAGAAGTTCTCCCAGAATTGCAATCCCTGAAATCTGTATGTTTGGCCTAAAAGTGAGGGTAACCAATGCAGGGCTTTTGAAGTTTGGTATATTCTCTCTTATGAAAACTGCTAGCTGATTTTATTTCTTGAGAAATAAAATAGAAACTGTTTGAATATATTACTGTTTAACACATTCTAGTCACACAGCCCAGGGGCAGAGGGTGGGAAGAAACTATCAAAATCACTGAAAAAAATTTGAGCTACTCATGAATGCAGATAAAACAGTATTTGTTCCACTTTGTTCTCACCATCTGTCCTTTTCAATACACTAAATATCACAGGGAAGTATATGGCTGTAGTTTCAACATGATGGGAACATATATCCACATAAAACACATGCAGAAAACATTTGAATAATCTTCATTACAAAAGTTTACAGTAAGAAAAGACAAAGAGTGGCATGCAGGATTTAGAAAACTAGGAAAAAAACTGAAATCCAGAATAGAGAGGAAAGATAGGGGGTGGGGAATACGAGGCCAGCTGTGGCATGCCATATGGCTCAGAAAAAAACTTAATTGCCTAAGTCAACGTTAACTGAATCAACTTGCACATTAATCAAAAAAACAACCTAAGAAATTAAAAAAAAATAAAATAAAAATATTTTTTTTGGTGACTCTGTAAAAGAAATTAAAATACAACCAAGATGACATCTTTTAAGTTTATTACATACTGAAATACTATCAATAGGATGGAATTAATTTTTGCTTTTAGCTGTATTGTAGGAGCATAGCTGAATTTCAACATTTTCATGTGTTTCCTCCACACACACAGATGTCAGACAAGCAGGAAAGGAAGACAGTGGAGGGAAACAAACAGGTCCATGGGAACATGTGGCTTCCAGCACAGTTGCACACAAGTATGTATTTGACTTACCTAAATCGTTGAGCCTGCTGAGCTAGAGACGCCGGGTATCTTCTGTTTGGAGAATGGTACAGCTGGGAAAGGATGGCCTGGTTGGTTTTTTGGCTTGGATTGTTAGCAAACTTTACAGTGATGGGCTCTGTGGCACCTGGAGGTTTCTGGCCATTCAAGCCTTTGATAGCTTCTTCTGCTTCAATTCGCTTGTCAAACCGGATAAACCCCACGCCCCTTGATACCCCTGCATAGGGTGAAGGAAGCATATAATAATTAATTCAGATACTCCAAAATATTAGATGTTAGCATTTGATTTTCACAGCCAATTGCTATGGTAATGGCCAATTACTGTGAACACAATAATTTTGAGCTCATTAGAACTGAGTTTTTGCTCCAAGAAGTAAGCCTTTTCTACGCTCAATTTTTATTTTTATTTTTTAATTTAACTGACATAAGATATATAATGTAGAAAGCTTAAAAGGTTGAGGAAAAACACAATGGAGACAACTCATACACAGTGAGCTAAAGGGTAGATCTTTAACAAAGCAATTCTGGGGGGATGGAGGTGAACCCAGAACCAGCTGCACTGTAACCTCTGTTCAGTTCATGCTACCAGCAATATCTGTCCTGCAGCACCCCTTGAAGTTCTCTTTGGAGCAAATATGCTAAAAGGATACAAAATGGAGTGCAAGTTCTAGACTGCAGTAATGGGAATTATGGCCCTGTTTTAACAGTCCATGATTACCTTTAAGCAAAACATCAAGTTTCAGCCTATCACCCTACTTTTCTAAGTGCTGTTTCTGAAGGAAACTATTTTCTTAGGCCAAGTAAACTATTCTTCTTAGGCCATAGATTCTTCCTTGGTATAGAAAGTCAAAGACAACATGCAAGGGGATCAGCAAGTGTTTATGGAAGGTCTTCAGAACACCACACCATCAAAATTTATACTGTGGCTTAAATGTAAACACCCTGAAGTGTCAAGACTTGAACCAATTCACATTAAATGCTAGTTTAGGTTGCACACTTTGTTGTAATATTCCTAAATCTATTTAAAGGCCCCTTATATTTTACTTCATGAATAAACAGACAAGTCAGAGGTTTGTCCTCACTTCAGAAAGACATTAATGACAAGAAATCTGTTCTGTTCATAAACGATGATTTAAACCATCAAAGTGACAATGAGCAGGCATAAGAAAGCTTTAAAGAGGCAAATATCGAGGCTTCAATTTTGCATTTTTCATCTCAGTTTGTGTCACAACCTTATTATTCATACCACTGAGTCTACCTCTTCCAAATTACTGAGGAGGAGGAGGGAAGAAAGCTTAAACCTGAACAGTCTACACCAAAGAACGACTGTGCACATACTAGCATTTAAGAGTACTTAGAATTACAGTATGCACTTTTTAATGTTTTATTACATTCACTTTTTTGGCGCATTTGTAAATTCTATGCATGAATATACAGGAACATACTGTCAACAGCTATTTATTGCACAAAGACTGGAAATCTGACCTGCAGTCTGCTTCTATAAGTAACTATTTGGCCTTTAACTTTCCTTTCCCTGCCTCTCTACACTCGCCAATTTACACTATTAAAACACACTAAGTATTATGTGTCAATATTGAGATTTCTGTTGACATAATGGAATTGTAATGGAGTACATACAAGGTCCTCTACAGGGCAGCCAAGTGCCAAACATGGACATGTCCAATCCATCCAACGTAAGACCATTTGAAAACTTTATGACCTCCTACAGTTGGAAGCTGTTTGACACCCATGATGACATGTGATTTTGAAAAAGTACAACCGTAAATAACATCCAAGGCAACTTATTATTCAGGGAATAATTAAGTGATTCATTTTTCTGCCCCACACCTACATTTTTTGGAAAGATGTGAATTTGGAGAGCCCTACTCCTTTGTATTTTGCAAAGCAAATTACTGCGGTCATGTACTTGGCATTTCATTTGATTGGTTATTTTTGGAACTGGCCTGCTGGGAGCAGGTAGGACAGCAAATTAGAGAGCTCCTCAAGTCCAGCCATTTGAGCCAGCAAAAACATATGCATTACTGTTCAAGTCTGAAGAGTAACCACAGAGTGTCGCTGACACACAATCATTGGTTAAGACACATACTGTAACAGCACAACTAACTTGCTGGAGCTCAGTTCAAGGCTCTGCTGAGCACAGAATGTATTTCCTCCCAAGAAACTCAAAAGTTCATCTTCTCCAGTGTGCCCAAAGTTAATGAGGCAACCTTGAAAACAGTCTTAACAACAATTACCAGTCTTGTATTTTTGTAATCCTAGCCTCAGAGAACCAGCTGTGCTTTTCTGCATAAAATTTCATTTTTATAAAAAAGAAGTGTTCAGCAGCATATTGTAAGGCACATAGGGACTATATTCACACAGCAGTCTGAAAAGGAAGACTATAGCAGCTGTAAAATTATTACAAGCCATGAAACAGGCTTCAAACCTGCACCTTCGGGGTGAAAATGACTCAAGCTGGCTCAGTACACGCCACAATCTATTTTCGTCCATGCATATTTATGAACAATTCCAGCAGAAAATTGCATTTTCTGGCCTACATACACCTTTCATACATTCTAGAGACAACACTATTATACTGAAAGGTGAAATATTTCTTAAACTGCCAGTACAAAAATGAGAGGAAGCACAGAACTGCCTACTTACCAGTGACTTGGTCAACCAGAATACGAGAAGTAATAATGCGTCCGTATTGGGAAAAGAGCTGTTCCAGATCTTTCTGAATCAATGTTTTTGGAAGTCCACTAACATACAAATTTGCATCTCTGATAGAAGCTGAACTTGGTCGCGCATAGGAAACCTTAGGAATAATTAAAAAAAAACTTGAAATCAAGCAAACACTTTAAAAACATTTGAAATTGGACAGTGTCATTTGCTAAGAGATACTGAAATGTTTTTCAGGGCAGCCAGAAAAGTTGCCTTGCAAAGCAGTTAAGTGGTTTATTTGGTGCTGGCTTCCCTGAAACACTGAAGTAACACGACACAAACCACTCAAAAGAAGCTAACTACATGAACTTAATATAGAAATTAAAATTTAAGGAGCACTTTTGAATAAAGAAGAAAAAGCTAGGTACACAGCCCAACAAGCCTTGGTGGAGAAAAGGAGTTCTCAGGTGGCTTACTATAAGATTACAAAGATAAACTTAGGAAGATCCAAGAACACTTTTTAAATTCTTTTTAATGATGATTAAAGGAATACAAGGGCTAAAGTTTTCACTGTGGCATCCAGGTCAAAAACACAGAAAGACAGTCCAAAGCACTTACAGGCTCGCATCGCAAGTGTTTTTCAAGTGCTGTGCTGTACACGTGCTAATAAGCTTGCTATCAAATGACACACAGTCCGTCATGAGGTCAAGGTAAACTCTGCTATATCACTTTTATGTTACTAAGAACGAATAGCAGAAGTAGGAATGCAATGTGCATTTCAGCTGTTCAGCAATTTGCCAATTTCTGTAACACAGAGGTCTTACAACCAAATGTCAAGTAACAGAAAACTCAGCTCTTTGTAGACAGAAGTTTTTACTTGCTGCCTCAAAGTGTCAGTCAGAAATATTTTAAGAATGCCAATTAGATTCCTCAACCATTACAATGCTACAAAAAACAGTCTGCTTAGGAGTTCAGTACTCCCACTGAAGTCTCTAGAGGTAGCTTATCGTTATTAGAGCAAAAATCAGAACAGAACATCCATGTCTGTGGAACACGATAGGACAAAATACTATTTTGGAGTTTTCGCTGTGCAAAATTTAAAGGTAAAAAGGAGCCTCAGAAGTAGTCAGATTTATCTCCTCTCCTTTCCTCTCTGCAATGCAGGATCAGTCAACTCTGGGCAGCTGGAACTTAATTCTGTAAATGTATCTTTTGCCTAATCCTTTGACATTTATTTCCAAATCCTTCCCCTGTCTCACTTCCATGCAGATCAGTAGGCTCTTAAGGCTCCTGCGGAGGCAAAACAAAATAGGGAATGGAGATCGAACCCCCAAGAGACTAAACAAGCAGTACCCTGAACACGGCTGTGCTCATTCGACGTTCTACCCACAGGCCTTGTGCAAAGTGTCTTCCAAAGCCGTCTGAGCAGGGTTGACCTACAAAACCTGTGGCTGTCCAAGATAAGACTATGTCCACTACCAAGACCTGTGAGCCACAATCCCTTGCTCTTTTAGTGTGAGAGCCACACAAGAGCTAGAGACCACTGTTCAAAGTGCTTGTCTTCTGACCTCCCACACAGGCAGCTCAGAATAACCTCAGCCTTTTCTCTCTTTTATTTTTTGTCTTTTGTGAAGATGTGCAGATGTAATCATAATAGAAAAAGCTGCCAGTGTCCAGTTTTAGAGCGGAGATGATACAATTTGCCAGCTCCTATACAGTTTGTTTCAACCCCAGTAAAGCTGCATTGAGTAACAGATTATTTTCCACTGGAGTGGATGGAGCTCACTGAACTAAAGATTACTTAGCCCTCTGCCTTCCACATGCTCCCTCACTTTTCTATATTATTAGAAATATGCACTGGGGAACCATGAAAATTACCACCATCAAGATGCCAGGAAAGCCACAGACCCTTTAGTAAGAATGGGTAAACTGTCTGTGATACTAAGTGTAAAAAAAACAACCAACCAAAAAAAGACCCAAATACTAAAAAATTTTCCTGACATCTGGTCACGGCAGGAATCTGCTGTGTGACTCTGGACAAGTCTCTCCATCTCAGCTTCCCACGTCACAGGGAACTATAATCCAGTCATATACACTGAGAATGGGTATTTTCCAGTAAGTTAGAAGTATTTGGTTTTTTCCTTTAAAAATGTTTTTGATATCTCTTGTGATTATTTTCAAGATACAGCGTTAACAGAAAGATGATTGATAGATTAGATTTTCTATTTTGACTCAATTTTTGCCATTTAAGTCAACACAGGATTCAGCTGCTAGCTAGAGTCAGATTCACACAGCAGGAGTAACCTGCCATGGGAAGTGTTTCTATCAGAACTGCAGTAATAAAGAGATACTATGGCCATTTTGCACCATCACAAGTAATGTATCCATATACTACGCAGCACTACTTTAAATTGCAGCAATAATGGAACCCGTTAAACTACTAGAAACAGGACACCAAGTAACAAATGTTACAAGAACAGCAATCACGCTCCCACACATGACAGATTTCCAAGAGCCTTTCACAAGGTAGATAACAAATATAACAGGTCCTTCAGGAAAGGCAAATACTTAATTCTGATCTCTTAAAACTTCCTTAAGCAGCTTTAATATTCAAGTCCAAATCTCATCAGCAACAACTGCTCTTCCAGAAGAAAAAAAAGAAAGAGACCCTACTGTTATAATTTTGCTGGTGTTGTTTAACTAACCATGCCCTTTCTATAGATGAGTATTTGCAAAGTCAAGGACAATAAGTACCAGTGGAACTACAGAAATAAAGACGAGGGGAAAGCAAGTCTTGCAAGCCAGGCAAAGAGAAAAGCAATCAGATTTCAAGTACCAGCTGCACAGCAGATTGAGACAGCTGGGGGTCAAGTGACTGATTTTGCCCCAGCTCTGTGCTGAAGGGTTCAAAAGCAAAGTTTTGTAAAAACAGTTATTTTTCTAGAATTGCTAAATCTGTTACCATTATATGGCTGTGCAGCTAAAGCCCAATACTTACAAACTGTGTTGGAAAGCAAATTCTTATTTATTCTGTATGTTCAACCCCCATAATACATACACACATTTGAAAGAGCAGCTTCTAGATCTTGAGTCATTTTCCTACTCTTGTACACGCAAAAGCATACAACTGTGATATTCTCAGGTGCACAAAAAGTCTGAGAGATAAGCTGCACCAGAGACAGGAAAACAGAGGTTAATACTTGCCTGCATTCAGTCAAAGAAGCAAGGACAGTGATAGCTGCCCAAGAGGCAGAAAAATACAACAGCTAAGGAAGGAAAGAACTTGCCCACTTGGCTATCAGCTTCTTTAATACGTAAAGCTTCATGCCGCACTTGACATTAAGGAGACCCAAGGCCAGAGAATGGAGACAGACTGCCTAGGAGACAGGATTACACACAATAAAATCGTGATTTATCAAGAATAAGCAGTTCAATTATTTTATTGTTTGGCTGAACATCTAAGTGTTAGTTTTTAAGGAGGCCTCTGTACCCCAATTTAACTCTACAAGGTAGGACAACAGTTGGGCCAACAAGGCACAGCAACAAAGTTCATTTTGTATCCGAACACAATGAACTGATATTAATGTAAAGTTTGACACGAATGGAAGGTGAGGATAGACACTACTTATAGACAAACTAGATTAAAACAGATGTAACTGCATGCACAACAGGCACATCTGAATTTTATCTGTCAGGGTTTAATTTTGTCTAGAATCGAGATACACTTAAAAACTGTTCTATGCAGTCCTGTATCAGCTGTCAGACAAGTTTTACTTTCCATATGCATTTGGTCAGGTCCTCTGGAGACAAATCAGAATTCCTAACACTGTCTCCCATAACGTACTCACAAAGTGCACATTAAGTACACCTATGTGTAATCAAGTACATAGTACATAAGTATTAAGTACCTACTAGTTGAGTTGGACAGTGACATAGACTGAAAACTGTCTGAAGTGTCAGGCTCAGTGGGATGCAATCAGTGGCATGAAGTCCAGCTGCAGGCTAGCCACTGTCCTCCATCAATACTGGATACAATACTGCTTAACATCTACACTAGTGACAGAGATGATGGGACAGAGTATACCATCAGAAGCTACACAGATGAAACAAAACTTGGAGCAGTGGTTGATAGGCCAGAGGGTTGTGTTGTCATCCAGAGAGACCTCATCAAACTGAAGAGTTAGGCAAACCGGCACCTTACACAAGTTCACCAACAGAAAAATCAGAGTCCCCCTGGGGAAGAACAAGCCCATGTACCAGAGTACATGCTGGGACCCAACTGGCCGAAAAGCAGCTTAGCAGAGAATCTCTGGGTCCTGGTAGACACAGAGCTGAGCATGAGCCAGCAGAATGTAACCTTGCACAAAATGGCCAACAGCCACCTGAGGTACATCTAATGTAGTACTATAGCAGCAGCAGCTTAAGGGAGGTCTTCCTTCCTCCCTGCTCAGCACTGGCAAGACACATCTGGGGTGCTTCTCCAGCTCTGGGCTCCCCAACACAAGAAAAATATTGACAACTAGAGTGAGTCCAGTAAAGGGCCACAAAAGTGATTAAGGGTCTGGAGCATCTCTGATGCAAGGACAGGCTGAGAGAGCAGCAATTGCTCAGTCTGGAGAAAAAGCAGCTCAGCAGGACCTTAGCCATAAAAATCTGATCATGGGGGTAAAGAAGACAGAGCCAGACTCTGCTCTGTAATATCACAAGACAGGACAACAGGCAATACGCACAAACTGAAATACAGAAAAGTCCATTTAGAAATTCCATATAGATTTCATTCTGTAAGAAAACACTTCTTCATAGTAAAGGGTGGTCAAGAACTGGAAAAAGATTCTCAGACTGTAGAGTCTAAACCTGGAGATGTTCAAAACACAACTGGACACAGGCCTGAGCAACATGCTTACAGTGAACCTGCTGTGAGCAGGTTGTTGGGAGTAGAGTCCTCCAGCCTCAGTCATTCTGTGATTCTGCAACAACACAACGAATTTTAAGGAAATTCTCTAAAATAGACTTCTAACCAGAGTCTAGATGCAACTTTTATCTAGTGAAGGTAACTAAGACAGAGGATTCCCACTCAGCTTTCTGTATAAAACCAGTGATACAGTCATTTTGCCTCCTATTCCTTCCAAGAAGAATTTCACAGAGGCGCTGTCT